AGTGTATGTATTTATATGCGTTACAATAGCGAGGGTTTAAACTAAGCAGTGCTCACAGGGTTCAACGCTAAGGATTTTTTCTACTGGCCCGATCGGGCCAGTGGTTCTGATTTTTACTTGCCCTGCCCAAATTTTCACTGGCCCCACCAAAAAAAAAAAAAAAGAAGTTAATCGCTATTTGAATGTGCGTGTGTGTGTGTGTATACACACACACACACACACAGTTGATTTCAGAATTATTAGTTCCCCTAAATTATTAGCACCCCTGTTTATTTTTTTCCCCAATTTCTATTTAACAGAGAACAGATTTTTTCAGCACATTTCTAAACATAATAGTTTTAATAACTCATCTCTAATAACTGATTTATTTTATCTTTGTCATGATGACTGTAAATAATATTTTACTAGATATTCTTCAAGACACTTCTATACAGCTTAAAGTGACATTTAAAGGCTTAACTAGGGTAATTAGGTTAACTAGGCAGGTTAGGGTAATTAGGCAAGTTATTGTATAATGATGGTTTGTTCTGTAGACAGTCTGAAAAACAATTAGCTTAAGAGGCTAATAAATTTTACCTTAAAATGGTTTTAAAAATGTTTTTATTCTAGCCAAAATAAAACAAATAAGATTTTGTTCAGAGGAAAAAATATTATCAGACAAAATATCAACATTTCTTTGCTTTGTTAAACATCATTTAGGAAATATTTTAAAAAGAAAAAACAAAAAACAAAAGGGGGCTAATAAATCTGTATATATATTTACGGTAATTTTTAAAATGTTTAAGGAAAACTATTCAGTTCATCAAGGCTATATTTATAAATGTAAAAAAGGTGTAATTGTTAAATATTTATTAAAATTTTAAATAACTGCTTTGTTATTGTATTTAGTTTCAAATAAAATAGTTACTCCAGACATTATTGATTTTATAACTATTACCATTAATAAATATAATAATAATTAATATTAGTGATTTCTGAAGGATCATGTGACTGGAGTAATGAAGCTGAAATCTCATCTTTAAAATCACTGGAATAAATGAATAAATTAAATGATAAAGTACTTTTGAACAGTTATTTTATAGTGCAACATTTCACAATTTGTATTTATGATGAAATAATTGCAGCCTTGGTGAGCAGAAGAAGCTTGTTTTAACATATTTAATCACACTGACCCCAAACGTTTGTGTATTGTGTATAGAATATTTTATAAGTGAAAATGTGCACTTTAATTTAACAACCCACAGACATCGTCACCGAATACAAATCGAGGTCAGACTTTCTCATATATACAGAGCCTCATTTCAATTGTCTGGTTTTGTAGAAATCGATCAATTGAATTAATCAATCTATTAAAGAAACGTTGACTATAATTCTGTATTTTAGGCTTAAATTATAGAGAGACATAGCAGATGAACCGATACTGCATCAGATCAATGTAAATCTTTCTTTCGAGCTGTCAGTGCGGAAATGAACAAAACAACAGGCCTAATACAACATTTTATACGATTAAAATATGGAAAAATTAACAGATAGTAATTTCGGTCAATTTTCCTGACGGATAAACCGAGATCAGGCTGGATAAACAGCTCTCGGTAATATTTCAGCATGCTTTCACTTTCGCATTTACCGGTAAGAATGACATCTCGCCCTGCTCATCATTCTCTCTTCATATAGCCGTATATGGCTATTACACGATCATGATACACTGTGATATAGCCTGGGTCGTTAGTTCGTTGCATTGTTTTGTTTTCTCGCTACAATCGATACGCTCAATAGGACAGAGACCGCGTCTCATTCAGGCGATCTCGGACTGATTGATTTGGCGCGGAAGCGAGCGCAACTGCTGGATATAATACTAAAAAACGCGCTAACGGGTGAAACGAGACAGATTCCGAAACAAACGTCTATGTGTGAAAGCACCGTAAGATTGTATTTGCACACAATTGACAGACAGTCGCAGCACGCAGCTCTGGCTCGATCTGGCAGGCAAAAGGGCAGCAGCTGGCCCGATCGAGCCAGTAACATTTTGTACACTGGCCCGAGTGTCTCGCACGCTGGCCCCGGGCCATCGGGCAGTCCTTATTGTCGAGCCCTGGCTCATAATATCGAGTGGGAAAAAAAGAAAAAGACCGCTGGGAAGCATAACCTGCTTTGTTTTTTTGTTTTGTTTTTTGTTTTTTTTATAAGAAACACAGTTTAGATCTGTTTAGGATAAGAGGAGTGTGAGTTATTGCTACCTATCACTGAATGTGAATATCGAAAAAAAAACCAACTTAGCTGTTAACTCCTTTACCGCCCCTCACACAGCTTGATCCACGCTGGCATTTCTCCTCTTGGGCTTTGGTTTTGAAAAGGGAAAAAATCCCACTACCCAGTCCAAACTTTTAGGATAGCGGGTGTCAGATTTTCACAATCCAATTGCGCAACGATTTGGCTTGTTTCCCTCGCTCGAAAGCTTGACAGAGCCTCTGCCCGTAGCTACGATTGGTAAGCCGCGATTGGTGGGTGGCGGTTTTTGGGCGTGGCTTAGCGAAGGGTCAGTTTAACAGGATCCCGTGAGAGCAAAAGCACTAAAGGTATGAGACGCCATCGTAAACAAAAGTCAAGCGAACGCAAAGAGACTGAATGCACGAGAGAGAGAGAGAGAGAGAGAGAGAGAGAGAGAGAGAGAGAGAGAGAGAGAGAGGTGTATGTTGTATGTGAGAGAGAGAGAGAGAGAGAGAGAGAGAGAGAGCGAGTATTGGCACGCGAGTATTGGCTCGATCTCAAGTTCAAATTCAAATTCTCTCTGCGTTCGCTTGACTTTTGTCCACTCCCGCGCCTCATAGTAGTCACGTTGGATACTGTCGAATCAAAACAATCTACCGTGCTTCGATTGGACGTCATGCCGAAAGCGCGCATGCTCACACACACGCGCGCGCGCGCATGCTGTCACACACACGCACACATAAACGGGGAGAGAGAGAGAGCGGTCTATGTCAACATACTTTTTTATCGTTGGGCTTTTCATGGGAAGCAGCAAGTCTTTACAAGTCAATAGGGGCAAGTCCTAGTCAAAGTCCGAGTCATTTATGTTCAAGTCCAAGTCGAGTTGCAAGTCTTTTTATATTTTGTCAAGTCGAGTCTAAAGTCATCAAATTCATGACTCGAGTCTGACTCGAGTCCAAGTCACATGACTCGAGTCCACACCTCTGGCTTAACCAGCATTGGGAAACACCAATACACTCTCTCATTCACACAAACACACACACACAAGTTTGTTTTTGTGAAAAGTGGGGACATTAGGTTTCCATTCATTTTATACTGTCCAAACCGTATATTATATTGCCGCCACCCCACCCCTAAACCCAACCATCACAGGAGACTGTGTGCAGCTTTACTCCATGATTAAACTCATTCTATAGTATTTATAAGCATTTTGAGGAATGAGGACGTCACCAATGTCCTCATATTTCACCTCCTTTTTGTAATACCTGTGTCATACCCATGTCATTATACAGATTTGTGTCCTGATATGTCACAAAAACACGTACACACACACACACACACACACACACACACGTGCACACACACACACACACACACTAATAATGGCCAATTTTGTTTACAGCATGTCTTTGGACTGTGGGGGAAATCAGAGCAATATAAGCGATAGCAAAATAAATAGAATCAATCTAGTATTTATTGGCTAAACTGACAGTGATTCAGTTAATTCTATAACTTCTACAATAATATTTTCTTTTGTTTAGGGTTTCTGAAATCACCATTAGTCTTCTAGAAGAAACTTTATGGTTGCCAGTTTGGTACGGTTATAAAGAAATATGAATTTAGTATAGTTGGTGATGTTAGTGGTTTAATATTTTTGAAATTTAGCCTGAAGGGTAAGTTCACCCAAAATTGTAAGTTCTGTTATTATTAAAACTCCTGTTGACCCAAAGGTCATAAAATGACCCTTTTAACAGCAGAAATAATGTTGTTTCATTTTAACATTTGGTGAATTTTTCTAATATGACCCCAAAATGATCAAATAAGAACCATTTTTAATATTTTTATGAAGGTTGTACACATTTAGAGTACAACAATTTTCATAGGGGTCATTTTTGACCAGCTATAAAGTCATTTTTATACTCCTATGCTTAATTGGACAGACATTTTTCAGTTTTTATTTATTTTTTATTACTGATAGGCCTGGCATATTAATCAATATATCACATGAACATGATCTCAATCATATTTGGTGATGCAATATATATCGCCCATACATAAACACCAATTCTAGCAACATTTACTACGAAATTTCACTATACGAAAGTGTATGTGACAAATAAAGGCCGGATTTGATTTGATTGGATTTTAGCTGATTGTGCAGCATCTCTATCTCTATTGGAGGTGTCAGTGTCAGTATGGTTAAAAACACTGTAGTATTTACTATAAATTACTACAGTATATTTTCATGTGAGTGTTTGACAGCTGAAAATAGATCTGCTAGCAGATATCACAGCCTCCGTTACTGTTTACCTCACACTTTTATTATTAACAATTATTATTAATATTTATTTATTTAGGATATGGATTTTCACATTCTGATTCCAATGCCTGATTATTAAATCATTAAAATAACTATAATTAAATGAAATATTCTTTAGAATAAAATATAATGTGTTCTTTGGAACAGTGTACTTGCATTGTGATTCTATTATGTTGTCAATCTGGCGTTATATAATAACTTAAAATGACAATAATATCATTTATTGTGATATATTTTGGTGCAATATATCGCACAACAAAAATTGATATTGTGACAGGCGTAATCACAGATGATTTCATACTAACACAGTTGGCCAATTATATGCAGAGCTTTTACTTTTGATCAGGTATTTTAAATAAACTCCCTCCTAAATTGCATGTAAATCAAAGCTGCGGTTGGACACTTTACCATTCACAAGTTCTCTTCTTTTCCAAATGGGTGGGTCTTGGACAGAATATATGTCACAAATGTGCATTTTCAGTGAAGTTTTAATACAAAATGGTTCATTTATTTGAAAAATGTGCTTTAAGGTTTGGAATGTGGCAGTATATACAGATGTTAATAACAACATTCATGATACGAAAATGAATAAGTCCTAAAAACTATGTAAAATAAAAACAGAAAAGCACACAAGATCTGTAAGAAATGTGTCAGGACAACATGACTAAAAACAGGACATTCTGCTAACAGTATTTCATTGAGAACTTATCCAGGATGTCTAATCGAGATGCATGATGGAAATAACATCCAGTTCCCCATCACTGCAGGAATAAAGTGGCGAAGTGCCCTAAATCTATTACAATTATTTAAGAAATGTGACCTGAAAATGACATTTTTAGATTTAAAAAATAAATAAAAATAGTACACCACTGGGATTGTCATAATGATCACTGACTTATAAAGGCAAGAGGTGTTTCAACAAGGGAAGTTTGTTTGTCTGGGTTGGTGGTGTGCTTTTTAAACAGTCCTTGACATCAGCAATGCACATTTAAAACAGTCAGATGTGCATATTCACACAGCATCTTAAAATCTCATTCCTAATGATTACTGTAAACATGTTTCCTTCAGTTTGACTCTCTGTGACAAGCAAAGTGTACCGAGCGCTGTGCAGTTACAATTATTTGCTCCATAGACCCGACACTACATCAAAAACAATAGTAGTGCTCGTTCTTAAAGCAACAGTACATCCAAAAATATACATTCTACTTTTTTTTAACCTTAAAGGGATAGTTAAACCTACAAATTTAGATTCTGTCATCATTTGCTCACCCTCCACTCATCCATATTAAACACATGAGAAGATATTGTGAAGAATGTTGAGGGAAAACAGCCGTTGACTTCCACAGTATTTGTTATTCCTACTTGTGTGAGTTAATGATGAGTAAATTTTCATTTCTGGGTGAACTATCCCCTTTCATGTCGCTTTAAATTGCTTTCAATCGAGGAACAAAAAAGTAGAACTTTTGAAAAATGTTCATGCTGCTCTTAATCCACGCACTGAAAGAGAGACATGCAGAAACTAGCACCTTACTCTTAGGAAGATATTGCATAAGAATCAAAGTGATTTGGAGGATGATATTGTGCTTATTTTTTTCACTTTTTCCATTAAATCATCCCTAAAATCGGCTTTTTGTGCTCCACAGGGGCGTTAAAACTACACGAAGGAGCAAATGATAGCAGAATTGTATAAAATATTTGAGTAGCATATTGCTTCCTCACTGTCAGTCAGTCACGTTCACATATTCTACAGTACAGTTTGGTGGCAGGCCTGCTGATAACTCGTCGCATTAACAACACTAAACATATCCTTCCTCACAAAGGACAGGAAATTACCCAGAGGGCACAGCGGCTGAGTCGAGCGGCGATTGTGTTCGCGGCAGAAGGCTGTGTCGAAGGTCAAATCCTCTCCATTATAAAGTACACGAATGAACATATTGTCCAGCTTTCTATCAGACCTTCTCTCTTTCGTTTCAGGGCTACTCCACAGTTCAAACACCAGCCGCGCTGCAAACTTCGGAAATCCTGCTCCCTCCAAACCAAGTGCACTTAGCAGTGGTGCCATTGTTACGTCATGAGCCGATGCTAATGCAAAAACCGCGTCTTCTTTACTTTTGCGCATTTGAGATCCCCTGGCGATTCTCTCTAATCGTGCTGCGCTACGGTTAAGGTATGGATGTGCTGCGAGCACAGCATAACGCCGGTAAAGCCCCGCCTCCCGACGCTCAAGTTCGTCATCTTTCTGTTGCCTACGAATCACAGCAAAGTGCTCCAATGTAAGACACGCCCCCTCATCTGGAGCGTTTGATGAAGTCTGTGTGCTGGAGCACGGAAAGGGAAGCCCGTGGCAAAAGTGACACAATAATGCATCCACCGGATTGGCCGCCCTCAGCGTTTTCGTGGCCACACCCAATGTTTTGGCCATCGTGACGTAAGTGCGTTCCAGTTCTGCGTCTGCGATTCTTTGGCGATACTGCCTGCGCTGCTCCTGGTCGAGGTAGCGATTACGGGCAGGACAGTCACACGATTGGCCGCAGAACAGCGTACTCCACTGCTGTCGCACAGTCAGCCGCGACCAATCGAAATGCGGCAGAAAACCGAACAGGAAGGCCAGTCCGCTCTGAAGGGTGCGGCTTTTACCGGTAGTCTCCACCCACAACTGCCGAGGCAACCAATCAGCAGCGAGCAGATTGTGACGGCTGATGTAGGCCTGGCGAAGATGATCGCCGTTTTTTAATTGCTGCACGACTCCTGAGGAAGAAAGAAAGAAAGAAAGAAAGAAAGAAAGAAAGAAAGAAAGAAAGAAAGAAAGAAAAAGAAAAAAGAATAAAAGAAAGAAAGAAAGAAAGAAAGAAAGAAAGAAAGAAAGAAAGAAAGAAAGAAAGAAAGAAAGAAAGAAAAAAAAGAGAGAAAGAAAGAAAGAAAGAAAAAGAAAAAAGAATAAAAGAAAGAAAATGAAAGAAAGAAAGAAAGAAAGAAAAAAAAGAGAGAAAGAAAGAAAGAAAGAAAGAAAGAAAGAAAGAAAAAAGAAAGAAAGAAAGAAAGAAAGAAAAAAAGAGAGAAAGAAAGAAAGAAAGAAAGAAAGAAAGAAAGAAAGAAAGAAAGAAAAAAAAGAGAGAAAGAAAGAAAGAAAGAAAGAAAGAAAGAAAAAAAAGAGAGAAAGAAAGAAAGAAAGATAAAAGAAAGAAAGAAAGAAAGAAAGAAAGAAAGAAAAAAAAAGAGAGAAAGAAAAAAAAGAGAGAAAGAAAGAAAAAAGAAAGAAAGAATGGAAGAAAGAAAATAAAAGAAAAAAAGAAAGAAAAAAAAGAAGTCAGTTGCAGTTTTTGTGTGGAGTTTGCATGTTCTACCTGTGTTGGCGTGGGTTTCATCCGGGTGCTCCGGTTTCCCCCACAGTCCTAACACATGCGCTATAAGTAAATTGATTAAACTAAATTGTCCATATTGTATGAGTGTGAATGGATGTTTCCCAGTTCTGGGTTGCAGCTGGAAGGGCATCTGCTGCATAAAACATATGTTGGATAAGTTGAAGGTTCATTCCACTGTGACAACCCCTGTTTAATAAAGGGACTAAGCCAAAAAGAGAATGAATGAAATTAAGTGACTGAGCAAAATGTACTGTTTTAAAACCACTGATGATGCTTCTTTCAAACTTAAAATAAAACATGGCCTTTTAGAGCATAAAAATCAGCAATAAATTAAAAAATATGGTAAAATAATCACAATAAATAACATTTGTATTCTGACTAATTGTATTTTTTTAAGAGAAGACGAATAAAAACCTTAAATAAGTGCATTAATTTATTTTATTTTCGGCTTAGTTCCTTTATTAATCTTTTTTGCCACAGCGGAATGTACCGCCAATTTATCCAGCATATGTTGCCCTTCTAGCTGCAACCCATCTCTGGGAAAAAATAAGTGTATACATATGTATTAATATATATATATACATATCAATTGAGGATATATTGTTAAACTTTTATAGACTAAACCAAATATTCAAACCCGTGCCCAATATAGCCATGGAAACAGACTTTTCAAAAGGTCTTTTAATGTCTTCCACAGCTATATATTTATATTACATAATATATATTTCAAAACTCTGATTGGTTACCTGTCTGTGTGAGCTCTCCCATTTCACAGGTGCTGTGACTGGGTAATCGAGGCAGAGACCCCAGAGATGCATCCCAGTGGCCACGCCCACCGAGAGCCATGTGACTAATGAAGGAGGCCAAGAGGGGGTGAGAGGGTTTTCTGCAAAATCATAAGCATAAAAGATGTGTTTTATTACAAGTTACTTTGAATAAATTTCATCTGACAAGCATCATTATTATAACATGCAAGGTTAGCAATGCAATGTCATTTCAATATAAATCCACAAGGGGGAACCATAATAACAGGGATTTCAGCTGGAAAGCACTTTGAATTTGACAAGTTACCCTACATTTTAGACTTAGTACATCTTTAGTAGAACATATGATTGATTAATAAAAGCTGATTAACATTTTTGTTTATAATAAAACTGCAAAATCAATAAAAAGAAAGCTGCTTTAAAAAAAATAATAATAATATTAATGCTTGTCTACTGCTTGAGATAATAGTATGTGCCTATATATTGTAAATAATGCAACTACATAAAATATGCATCATTTGATTTATTAATGCGCATATCTAATGCTAATGCTAGTTTAATCCAAGTAAATGAAATGATCTCTTTTTAATAAACTTTTCAATACATTTAAAATAAAAGTTAAAAAATTAAAGTAATAATAAAAATAAAATAAAAGTTAAAAAATAAAAATAATAATAAAAAAAAAGATAAATGCAAAATAATATTTACAGCATAGTGAAGCACTGTATGTTCTATCTAACACAATTGGTACTTTTTTTTTACTATTTTATAACAAGATTTCAGAAGAGAGCTCTAGGTAGGATGCCAGATCACCTTACTTTTTAATTATAATGCATCTTTTTCATATATAAGTCAGAGCTTTGTGGTCAAATTAAGTCCTAGATATGTCCACAAATCACACCTCTCATTGTATGTCTACCTCTGGATAGCATATTTAAGCGTATGTGAAGAACTGGAGCGTGATGAACAGAAAAACAGAAGGATTTATGCTTGAGGATTACTTTTATAATGCATAAATCTCAGACATCAGGGGAATATTATGGGTGGCTGCGCGTGATTAATCATTCTTGGAAATCATGGACAAAATCACTTCTCATGCCGTTGGTTCCAATAATACAGTGTTATTTTAGAGCACATTACAGTGACTGTTCAAGGTTGCCATAACCACGGCGACGTGCTTATGAAAGGATAAATGAAATATTAATCAGATAACGACTCGTAAACTGCATGCCCGGACAAACGTTATAAACATAAGCCTGCGTTTACAGCAGTTACTGGTGGTTATCAAAGCATCCTCTAAAGCAGGGGTTCTCAACTGGTTTGGCCATGGGACCCACATTTTTACATAGTCATCAAGCCCCGACACAAATTTTTAGGAACTAAAATTTAATACAATTTTAGGAATAATAATTATTTTGTATTTATTTGTTAACATACATAAATAGTGACAGATAAATCATAAGACATTCACCAAGACTTACAAATAAACAATATTTTATTGCTGCCATTTAAAAAAAAATGGATCAAATTATAGAAATATTACAAAGTTAAAACGACAAATACTGTAAACAGTGGTTGGGGTGAGGAAATGTTCAGTTACCATGAACTAAACTGAACTGTTAATTAAACATCTTGTCTGGTTTCTAATTTCGTTTTAATTTAGAAGGTTTCATGCTCTCTTATGAGAGCAGCTCACTACATATAGCACTGAGGCTTTAAAGGGCACCTATGGTGAAAAATCTACTTTTCAAGCTGTTTGGACAGACATGTGTGTAAGTATAGTGTATATACCAGGGGTCAGCAACCCGCGGCTCTTTAGCGCTGCCCTTGTGGCTCCCTGAAGTTTTTTCAAAAATGTTCAAAAAGATGGGGAAGGTTAATATATATTTTTGTTTTAATATGATTTCTATAGGAGGACAAACATTTTTAACGTTTTCAAATGCTGTAAAAGTGTCTAGAATTAATATTTAATTTCAACATTTCTGTCGACGAAGATTTGCGTCATAGCCTGCGACACAGGTTTCTATCAGCAGGGCGGGATGCCGGGCAGGTGGCTGTTGTAAACAAACCGGGAGATAATAAAGCATGGAAAACCGTTCACAGATGGTCACTACATGAAGGAGTCATTCATCAACATATCAGTCATCAACATTCAACACTTCTCTCCGCTAAGACAGTGAAGGAAAGGGCTATTAAAATGGCAGGTAACATCACCGATCAGCAAACCAAGGACATTAATTCAGTGCCAGCATACTCAATTGCCTGTGATGTGGCCGATATTCAATGCACTTTTATGCAGGTATGTGAACTCTGATGGGCCACAAGAAGAAATGATCAAATTAATATCACTGAAAGAGGCTGTGCTGAAGTGTTTAAATGACAACGAAATAAACACCAACCACCTGATTTCAGTGGCTATTTAATCATGAAGGCTCATTATGTATTTGTAGCCAACTTAGTCATTTTTATAGTAGGCTAATATAGCTACTTCATTATAAGGCTTATATAAGGCTTTACATTTTTTTGCGGCTCCAAACATATTTGTTTTTTGTTTGTTTTTTTGGTTAATATGGCTCTTTCAACATTTTGGGTTGCCGACCCCTGGTATAGACCTTCATATTGGTGTGATATAAACACACACAAAAAAAAAAAACTCCTTTGTTTTTTCAACATATAAACGGTGGACCAATTGGAGCGGTTTTCAGACTGACCGCAACTTGACGTAGGAGAGCAATCCCCCCGCCTACCAATATTGATTGACAGCCTCGCGTCACAATCATATCCTCAGTTTCTTGTTGCACGTCCGCCATTTTCAGCATGTGAGTCAAAGCGATATCACTAAAGGAACACCTGCGATCTATTTTTTGATGAAAAGCTCATTGGGCTCAACACAAGGTCAATATTCTCCACCGTATCGCTGTAATCGGAATTAATGCTTGTACCTTTTGCGTGGAGCCGTGCATTTCGGAGTTCTGGACGTGGGTTTCTGTCGGGGTGCACGCAGGGGAGCTTCGGGTTGGCGGCTCGGCGGCCGCGTGGCTGTTGTGTTTGCCCTGATGGAGGCCTGTGTTTGGAGTTGCGTGGCGCAACGATTCGGGACACTTCATGCTTATGCCGCGCAGAGTGTCTGATGTGCCGTGTCGCGGCACATTCGGTGCCTCAGTCAAAGTTAATTCAGTGTGTGTGGTTATTAGTCTCAGTGAACAAGCTCAGCACTTGTACACCGAGACTATACAGAGACACAAATGATTTTGTACTCTCTGCTTGGTCTGTGTCTGAGTAGTAAATGTACGGCTGAATGCTCATCCTAGCTTAGCTTCTCTCTCTCTCTGTCTGTCAGCTTGTCTGTTGCAAACACAGAGCGTGGGAGCTCTTGGCTCCGCCCCCTTGTTACGTTGGGCGGGAAGCCGAAACTGTGAAGCAACACGCCCTTTAAACAGCAAACTGTGTAAACACCCCCAACATGACACTTTTTAACACATTATAATAAAAACATCTGAACTGTGTGTTGAACTGAACCTAAACTGGCACACTCAGAAAAAGCATAATATATATATTAAATCATAAAAAGGGGTAAACGATGTGCCCTTTAAGTCTTTTTTGTCGTCAATATATGTATACCCATACTTTACATATTCGGGGTCGTATTTCCGCTTCGACATATTAAATGAATATGTAATTAAATGGAATTTCATATGTCAAACGGTAGGGTTGTCGTGCACGAATTTCAAAATAAAAGTCCGATATAAGCAAAACAAATTAAAAATTAAACTTTTGTTGTTTTTTTGAACACACACTCCGCGACCCACTGAAAATGTTCCCGCAACCCACCAGTTGAGAAACACTGCTCCAAAGTGATGTCAAGTTAGTTTTGATCCCTTTTAAATTCACTTTAAAATGATGCATCATGCAGTCTTTCATTATATATTACATATGACAGATAAAGACAAGACGAAGGATTGAAAAATACAATGACAATAAGAATACGTTTATGTTACATAGCGCCTTTCCAGTGCTCAAGGAGGCTTTACAAGATGATAACAAAGTAAAATAAATAAATAAATAAATATCCGAGAAGAAAGAGAAACAGATGTGCAGAAGTCTGAATCTACATTTGCTGACCGACAGTTTAAGCTACTTATGGCCCGACAATATTTAATTGGATTAACATTTTTTAATTTCATGCCTAACTCAGAATATAAAAATACATATAACAGGTGCTGTAACTTATCTTTATTTATTTATGATTTGGTTATGGGTAAAACAAAGACCATGCGGGTCAGGCAGTTGAAACGGTAGACTACAAATAATTAATCCATTATAAATTAATTAATTATTCATAAATAATTAATTCACCACCGCCTACAATGATGATGCCATCATCCATCTCGATGTTTCACATTAGACATCGTACCATGCCAAATTAGTCAACATCACCCAAAACCCTAGTATATCATCAGATGATTTAGATGAACATGTACCTCTTTTCTGACAGGATGCAGTCTATAGTGGGTTTCTTGGTTTTGGGGATGGAGTACAAAGGAAAGCGGTCTCCATGTCGAATCATGACCTGGACCGACAGCAGCTTGTAGTCAGGCGGACAGTGACCTACGACCCACACAAATACATCAACATACGTCTGAAAGAGTGTTTGAGAAGGTAAATCTGTGTGTGTTTCTTACCCTCCCAGCCGTGTTCGGTCAGGTTGGGGTAATTGCAGTACTGGTGTGTGTCTCTGATGGGGTCCGGGGCCGGAGGATCTGTATGTAGGACTGGATTCACACGCTTTCGGCTTTTACCAGCTGACCTTTGCTCCGCCACCGGATTGGTAGGAATGAGGTGCACTGGGGAAAGAGAGAAAGGACTAGTCATTAAACACAAGCACACACACAGTTTTTCCAGCTTCCTCAGTTCTGACCTCATTGAACAAACATTGAGAGTGGACAGAGCTGCGGATTGTTGAATTTTTTTCTGGGCACAGCTTTGGTGATGTGGGCTGGGGGCGGAGCCTGAGAGGATGATTGACAGATGAAAACACGAGACCAGCATCTAGATTCTACTGGACATTTTAGCTGCATATTTGTATTTTTACGTGCACTAATGCAATTTATAAAGAGTCTTTTGTATTATTATTATTATTTCTTTGAGTAAAAATGGTGTTGTGCTATGAAAACAAAACCAAAAACCAGCCTTCAGCCTTTATAAAACTAGTCGAAAAGCTACGCCAGGATTGGTTACATATGCTACAGAAAACTAAATAGTTAAATAAAGAAAAATTGTGTATTAATAGTTTTTTCACACACACAAAATATTAATAATAATAATTTGACTAATAATATAAACTATAAAAATATCAGTAAATTATCAATTTACAGTATTGTGTGATTCATTTTACCCACCGTGTATTTCTGCTTTTGAATTTCATTAAAGGTGTAGTATGTACGATTGACACCCAGTGGATGAAATAGGTATTGCACTCCTGGATCAAAACACATTTTCACTCGGCTCCTACTCTGAGGAGTCCAATCAAGCGCAGGTTGCCAGATTGACACGAGTGTGCCTGGCTATCGAGCCTAGGACTGATTTAAGGCTGATTGGAACCATTTTTTAAATTTTTTTTTATAAAACCAACGGCACATGATAGAATAACCATTTTCCATACTAAAAAGAGTTTTTGTCCAAACCAACACTTGAAATTTCTATTTTAGAAACGGCTTCTATTTTTAAAGGTGAACAACAATTGCCTCAGGTACTCATGTGCTTTATTCAGTGTTAAATGCTAACAATGTGAGTTTGAATGCCATTTTACACGACATTTAAACTACTCTATATATTATTTCTTATGTAATATATAGTCTCAAGCTACTCTCTATAAATTATTTCTTATGTAATATATAGTCTCAAACTACTCTATATTAGTTCTTATGTGATATATAATGTCAAACTACTCTATATATTATTTCTTATGTAATATATAGTCTCAAACTACTCTATATTATTTTATGTAATATAAAGTTTCAAACTACTGTATTATTTTTTATGTAATATATAATGTCAAATTGCTCAATATATTATTTCGTATGAAATATATATATTAAAACTACTCTATATATTATTTATGTAATATATAGTCTCAAACTACTCAATATATATAATTTCTTATGTAATATATAGTTTCAAACTACTCTATATATATTATTTCTTATGGGATCAATAATGTCAAACTATATATTATTTCTTTTATACTATATAGTCTCAGACTACTCTTTATACATTATTTCATATATACTATATAGTCTCAAACTTTTCATATATATAATTTCTTATGTAATATATAGTTTAAAACTACTCTATTTCTTATGTAATACATAATCTCAAACTATTCATATATATATATATATATATATATATATATATATATATATATATATATATATAATTTATGTAATATATAATGTCAAACTACTCAATAAATATTATTTATTATGTAATAATAATGTAGTTTCACACAACTAAAACGCTATTAAACATCACTTAGTTAAACTGCAGAGTTGAATTTTCAACATCAAAAGTCAACAAAGCAGATCACAAGGCCTCATAAAGCTACTCATAACCGTAAATAAACCACAAAAACACCTGTGAATTGTAAATACAGAAACTGTTAATTAAATTGCTTTACATTGTGAGCAGATCTCAAAGACAAGAGCTACTAACACAACTCTGCATGCATTTTTGATAGCATAATGCACATAATAGTTTGTTTGTGTGATGCATTTACAATTTTAGTTGTTATACATTTTATCTTCTATATAACAATACAATTTGACAAATTCAAGCATAGTCACTCTAAAGCGCTAGTTATAAATGATAAAAACTGCTGACATAATAATAACAATGGCTAAACTCCTACACAAATGAAAAGAATTGATTAAAACTGCCAACATAATAATAGTAGCTAAACTGCTCAATAATATTAAGCACTTTAATGAAAACTTCTTAAACCAGCAACTGTTTGAAACTCACCAGACAGAAGTATAACGGTTAGCTGGTTTATACGCAGGGAGGTGGACATTGTGGAGATGTTAAAGCCAATACGTTGAGGTGTGCAGCTCATACTGGTTTTAATTCAGCATCAAACTCCATCCCTCCTCTAAAATCTGAACGACCAATCATGCATTAGCTCGAGCTCACAACCAATCACATTAGAGCTCCGTACAGAGGCCGACCGCACAAAGAGCTCTTTGTAGTTTCAAGTCTGAGTTTAGTGTACTGAAAGAATCACACACACCTAAACACAAATACAATAGAGAGAAATCAGAGAGTGCAGACAGTGTTTATACCGCAGAGCGGTCAAGGCTGATATTGTGCGTCATGCTGGCAGAGTGTATTACAAGCGATGAAACTTCACTGAGATGAGAAGTGCTCCTCTTTCATCCCTCACTCCTCTCTTTCTCATTCTCAATGTATGGCCTCTTTCTCTCCAGCTGCTTGTTAGTCTCTACAGACCTGGAGCCTCTTTCTTTAAAACTACATCAGTCATGCTTGAGTGAGCCGAAGTAAAGAGAGAGAGGAGGAGAGGTCGGCTAATTTAAGACGCAGTTCTGTCCTACATTCAGACAGCTTTTCAGCTCTACGCTGAGACCACCACAAAAGAGGAAATGAATTAGTTATGACCTCACATGGGGTGAAATGAAATAGGCAACGTGAGGATGGTAGCCACAGAATGATTGCATTTGTGCAACTCGCCTCACAACAAAAAGTATACGTGTGTTTAAGCATTGAAGACACTTAAAATGTCATGATCAAATCTGCAGAATTTGGCAGAGTATATAGTTTCAAAGTACTTTATATGTAATTTCGTATATAATATATAGTTTCAAAGAACCCTATGTACTATTTCTTATGTAGTATAGTTTCAAAGTACTCTATACAATATTTTTATGTAATATATATAGTCTCAAACTATTCTCTATATATTATTTTTATGTAATATATAGTCTCAAACTACTCTGTATATATTATTTCTTAAGTAATATATGGTCTCAAACTGCTCTCTATCTATATATTATTTCTGATGTAATATATAGTTTCAAATTACTCTATATTATTTCTTATGTAATATATAATCTCAATCTACTCTCTACATATTATTTCTTACGTAATATATAGTCTCAAATTACTCTATATATTATTTCCTGTGTAATATATAATCTCAATCTACTCTATATCATTTTTATATAATATATAGTCTCAAACGACTCAAACGAAGATATTATTTCTTATGTAATATAGATTCAAATTACTCTATATATTATTTCCTATGTAATATATAAACTCAATCTACTCTCTATATATTATTTCTTATGTAATATATAGTCTCAAACTACTCTACATATTTACTATGTAATAGTCACAAACTACAATATGTATTATTTACGATGTAATATAGTCTCATACTACTCATATATATATTTCTTATGTAATATATAGTTTCAAAGTACTATATATATTATTTCTTATGTGGTCTTGTTTCAAAGTACTCTTATTTTTTCTTATGTAATATATAGTCTCAAACTACTCCATATATTTCATGAGAATTAATATATTTAGTCTCCAACTACTCTCTACATATTAATACTCATGTAATTATATAGTCTCAAACTACTCTCTTCATATTTATGTATTATATAATCACAAACTACTCTATATATTATTTACTATATAATATATAATCACAAACTACTCCATATATTATTTACTATGTAATTTATAGTCTCAATCTACTCATATATTATTTTATGTAAAATATAGTTTCAAAGTACTCTATATATTATTTCTTTTATAATCTATTGTTTCAAAGTACTCTATATATTAATACTTATGAAATAGATAGTCTCAAACTACTCTCTACATATTAATTCTTATGTAATATATAGTCTAAAACGACTCTCTACATATTAATTCTTATGTAATATATAGTTTCAAACTACTCTCTTCATATTTATGTAATATATAATCACAAACTTCTCTATATATTATTTACTATATAATATATAATCACAAACTACTCTATATATTATTTACTATGTAATTTATAGTCTCAATCTACTCATATATTATTTTTATGTAAAATATAGTTTCAAAGTACTCTATAATTTCTTTTATAATCTATTGTTTCAAAGTACTCTATATATTGATACTTATGAAATATATAGTCTCAAACTACTCTCTACATATTAATTCTTATGTAATATATAGTCTAAACGACTCTCTACATATTAATTCTTATGTAATATATAGTCTCAAACTACTCTCTTCATATTTATGTATTATATAATCACAAACTACTCTATATATTATTTACTATATAATATATAATCACAAACTACTCTATATAATATTTACTATGTAATTTATAGTCTCAATCTACTCATATATTATTTTATGTAAAATATAGTTTCAAAGTACTCTATATATTATTTCTTTTATAATCTATTGTTTCAAAGTACTCTATATATTAATACTTATGAAATAGATAGTCTCAAACTACTCTCTACATATTAATTCTTATGTAATATATAGTCTAAAACGACTCTCTACATATTAATTCTTATGTAATATATAGTCTCAAACTACTCTCTTCATATTTATGTAATATATAATCACAAACTACTCTATATATTATTTACTATATAATATATAATCACAAACTACTCTATATATTATTTACTATGTAATTTATAGTCTCAATCTACTCATATATTATTTTTATGTAAAATATAGTTTTAAAGTACTCTATAATTTCTTTTATAATCTATTGTTTCAAAGTACTCTATATATTGAT